AACAATCATTTTTATATGTGACAGAGATAAAAAAAAATGGCGAAAACTTTTTTTTCCTTATTGGTCAAAATCCTTAAAGTGATTACCAGTCAACTTCAGAAGTCACTGTGAAGAATGTAGGAACACAAATCATGCAATTTTCTTACCTAATGAGAGAAGATTTTCTCCAGCATTGACATAAGCAACATTATCAAACAGAGAAAAATCAGCAGCTTTAACTTCGGTTAAACTTTGACCTGCTACATTGACTGAACAGAGGTCGGATGGATCTTCAACCGCACAATGCTTCATCTATGTTACATGAAATATAACCGTACATATTTCATTGGTATAAAAGACAAAATTCTAAAAACCCACCCAAATACTTGTTTTTATAGACAGTGTCAACTTGATACTCAAGGAATAGTCACATGCTAAGTAATTGTTCCTGTCGTCAGTTAATGTATCAGGAAGACCACTGTTACAATACCATGTGTAATAAATTTAATACGATTTAAAATTAGAATAAAAAACATAACAAAATAATAAAATGTAATACAAAAAACTTATAAAGTTGATTTAGAAAGATGAAAATATGTTAATTGTTACATATAAAGCACATTAATATTATAAATAATAACTTACAGCAAAATATAAGGGCTGCAAAATAATATAAAACAATAAATAAATTCAATAGTTTACCATCCAAAATAATATATTAGAATTTTAACAATTCACAGACTTTATCATTAAAAATAAAATAAAAATATATTAAAAAATAATTATAATCAAGAACTAACCAAGAAAAAACCATCAAGGAGACCATCGGTAACACCATCTTCTGATACAGTTTGAGGGCTTCCCTTCCGTTTTTCCTTTAATTCTTTTTCTTTTCGTTCTTTCTTTATCTGTTCATATGTTTTAGGCTGCGGGCAGAGCAAGGCCTGAAATGTTCGCCGCTGGTCTGCTTTGTGAGCGACATACCAAGCACCAGAAGCTAAGGCAAAAATGTTTAATATCAAAAGTGAATTATAAAACTCGGTGTGACTTTTTAATATATCCGTGTTTTGCAGTCACCCGTCACCCGCGGTGTTGGTAACAATGATTCAAATTCTGTCTTTGGCTTGTTAGTGCACCCACCATGAATATTTGAAACAAAAAATAGTAATTTAGGCCAAGTAAAAAAAAATAATTGGTTAGCATCCTTTTGGTATCAAATTTCATGGTAGGGAGGGAGGTTTTTTTTTTTTTTTTATTTCCTCGTAGAACATGAAAAACCAGCGTCGGAAGGAAAATTAGCAAAACAAAGAAGTGGAAAACAACAGACGCCAAAATTGGATACAAGAAATCATGTAATTCATCTATATCAAGCAGATAAGCTTTGCCTATATAAATAACAGTCATATTGAAATCCCTATATATGAAGTTTTAAAACATGCAACATTGTATATGTTTACAGAACTGATGATATCGATAACAGGTTTACAAAGCATTCCATCCTAAGTTGCGAGTGTAATTGCGGTTGGATGTGAAATTAAAAATAAAAATAACAACAGCAAAATAAGAAGATTGAAGTTTGTCATAGTCGTATAATAATTCATTGTCCATTCATAAACAGAAACGTAATTTTTGAACTGGCATTTTGTACAATTGATTACTATTTGTGATTGTTTATGTGATTGAGTATGTAGATATAGTGATAATACTCAATAGTGAATACTGTTATGAGTTTGACTAGTATCATGTGCTATGTTTATGCTGATAAACACTTTGACATCTAGTTGGACCAGCTGTTTGGAAACATCATGTCACTGTACAGCATGTGAATATTCCATGCTTTGTGTTTAAGTTTGTGTTTGCTGGACATTAACTGGACCATACTGGGTTTGTTGTTGGAACAACACAACAGTCATCATTGATGCCATGCAGGGGTTTCGCCAGAAAAACAAAATAGACGGCCTATTTTGTTTTTCCAAAATGGAAGCCAGTGGTCGTGGCACTGAGCCGATGGCGGGCCACGCCCATCGTTAGTAATCCCCATCGATTATTGGTACGAAAAGGTACATTCAGTCAATAAATGTTGTTTTTATCAAACGTAAATATGATTTACCTTTAGTTTAATGTAACATTCGATAGATTTGAAGAATATATAAAGAATTTGCTAAAGGTAGACCAGGCCCAATTAGGCTAGGCCGAGCTGATTAGGCCAAGCCGTCACGGTAAAAGTTGCCGTCCTAAATAATTGTAGGCAGTCCAAAAGACGGCCGGACGGCTCGCTCGCTAATAATACGCATGCACTATCTCGCCACTATATTTCCAGTAATAA